TACATAAAATTCCATTCGCTGGACATCAGAAGAAAAAGAAAACAGGAAACAACCTAGGAACCTGCTACAGAGGGCCTCTGAAAGCCAGAAGAAAACAGGTATATTTTTGTAATGAAATTTTATGTCCTACTTATTATGGAGAAAAAAAAGTCAGATAAACTTGTGTTTAAAGCCTAGCTCTATCAGGTATAAACCATGTAATCTTAAACATTAGTTCCTCTGATCATATAAAGAAAATATTTCGAGTTCACAAGAGATTTTTCTAGGAAAGAAAATTATTTGTGCAGGAGTCTGGCGATAAGTATTTTCTATTTTCTGGCTTTAAAACAATAATTTAGAAGTAGAAGTCTGTGTAATCTCTAGAGAAAACTCACATTGATGTTTTATATCCATGTTTCAGAAGGAAAAATGAACTTACATTTACAATAGACTCTTTCTTTTCAGTTTTGCACTCAGAGTCTATGCCTGATTCTATCCCTGCAATCTGTGTTCCAAGTGTTGTGGCTACTTTGTGCTAACTGCTCATAGTCCTTCCTTTCCCCAACACTACAGTGAAAGCTTAACTGGCATAGGGATCCAGAAGGAGAGCAACCCCTGTGCCTCAGGGTCAGACAATTCTGTCTTGCTTCTATTCCAGAAATGTCCAGTAATCATGGCTTCCAGTAATCATGGCTTCCAGTAAGAGATCAGCCAAGAGCTCCCCCTTAGATCCTCTTAGAACCTTCTCTTGTTCTGTCACAGTTCTCTTCGCTGCTGAAGTCACCCTCAGTCAATCCACTCCCCAAGTCACTCTCTCAGGCCTTGCAAGACATGCCTCATCACAACTAATGAGTGTGATGTGTGAGCAGTGTTTCACTGGGAATTATAGCTAGATCTGGCTATGAATTCCAGTCTGGGACGTAAACAAATAAATATGCATTTTAAGTCATTATTTTATTTTTATTTATTTGGGGAATATAAAACTTTAGGTTAGGCAGGCAGCTGGAAGACATTACAAGCAAATATCAGAAAAAGAGAAAAAGGCCTTTAGTTTTCTGCTGGGCTTTACTTGTCCTGGAAAGCATCTGACAGAAACATGGACTCTTCTTGGGGGCCAGACACAGGAGGAACTTGGAGTCCTCTGGTAGTGAGAGATGGAGAAAGTACATGCTGGAGGAGATGGCTAAAAAATGACCCAGTAAGAAACTAGTATGAAATGAGAATGCAATGGAGAAGTCCAAATAGCCAATGGAGGCACAAACCTCTAATACGATGGGTTTGGTTTTTTTGTTTTTTGTTGTTTTGTTTTGTTTTGTTTTGTTTTTTCAGAGAAATCCAAGGTCGATTGGAAAAGGTTTTTAAAGTTATTGAATTTTCTATTGTTCCCCATGAATTCTAAAGGCCACAGTAATCTCCTCAAGTAGATACGGTTTTAATTTTAGTATTTTTTTTCTAAAGCTCTTAGGAGATAATATGACTGGATCTTGGGACCAAACTGTCTGGCTCCACACTCAGCCTCGCCTTTTGAATTCTTTATGTGATGATATAAGTCCCGATTCAGACCTCTCATATATTTCTCTGAGTTTCTGTGCTGTATTGGTGGTTCTTTATCACATATATAGGCATTTATCTCGGGTGTGTGTGTGTCTGTGTGTGTGTGCGCGCGCGCGTGCGCGCGTATCACATACACACTTACATTTTCTCCAGTGTTACATAAAGGAAATAAGCCACAGAAGCTATGAGTGAGTTCTCCACTATTACATAAAACTAAGCTCCAAACACAGGACAGCTTGATCCCCAGGCTGGGAGGTAGCAAGGTGATGTCTGAGGATCCTGCACCAAAACACAGTATCCACTTCCTTCCACACAGTCCAATGAATTGATACTCTCTCAGTCACTTACATAAAACGCAACTAAAAATGATGCCATGAAAGTTGATGTCTCTAAGTACCTGTAGCATATAATCCAAATAGAAGCCACTGTCTCATTCTGAGACTCCTCCTTAAGACAAGTCTGCTGGCATCCACAGTGATCGCATGGGCTATCACATCCAAGTACTACCTCGGTGAAATCTTGGAGAGTCAGTACTTAAATGCGGTTTTTAATTAAGCACTTTGAGAATAAGCAAAGGAGAATTTCTACTCATATACAAAAGAAGGAAAACTCTGGAAATTTCTGATTAAATTTTCTACACTGACTACCTTTCATAATTTTTGATTATTTCTTTTTTTTTTTTAAAGGGTCATGTCTGCTCTGATTTTGACAGTCATAGTATGTTCTGGATTCACTTTCCCAGTCTATGCAAGGTTGACTGTTGCAGTGTTCCTAGGTGTCATTCTTAGCAGTTAAAAAGTAACTAGTGAATTTCCAAAGTAGGTCAATTTTAGAACTGGCTTGAAACACTTGTTTAAAAAAATACATAGTTACAAAGTAAATCAGAAAAAGTTTTTTTTTTAATTTTCAACATTGCAAGTGTAGGGAATGTTACAGCAGCTCCTGAGCACTTAAATTAGAAGTCCCAAAAAGAACAAGCAAAACCATACACATTTGTACCTGCTGGCGCACTTTACATGAATGAACAGACTATGTAAGATTTTTTAAAAAGATTATGAAAACCTTATTACAATATAATTTCATTATTGCTCTGAAAATTATAGGAACATCATTGTCAGGTTTAGTTTTTGGGTTTTTGTTTTGTTTTGTTTTTGTTTTTGTTTTTAAGAGAAACCAGAAATTCAGATACTCTTGCATAACATTACTGGCTTATAAATACTCTCAACTTATTTTAAAACATAGCATAGACCAAATCTCTGAGCCAATGTGGCCTCTATAATTCTAACTTTCAGCTTCTGTTTGTTATTGTACTCTGTTTGTGCTAATATCCTAGTGACTTAACTGGTTCAGTCTGATGTGGTGTTATTTCACAGAACAGAGGCATGAATACCAAAGCTCAGCATCTTTAGCAATATTGAAAAACAACACAAAGCCTAATCAATTATCCAATAGGGTTTAGAAGAATTAATGATAGGTGTGGATCACAAAAGTATTCGATTTATGTGGTAAGATGGATCTTAGTGCCCTGTAACCACAATTAAAGAACAAGAAGGCAACAGTTGGGAGGCGATCAGGATAAATAAAATAGAGACAAAAATAAAGGGCCCTAAGAAAAATAATGGGATTTGGAAAGAAGGCAAACAAATGAGATAGGTAGAGAACTATTACATGAAGGTATAATGTCACAGCTAAGTCCCAGGAGTAGACTCTCTTCCCTACATAGATCATCAGAGAAGAACTTCAGTCTTCATTACAGCACAGAGCTAGAGCACTAAATGACCACTCAGCCTCAACATCCAGCACCCCTGTGACCTCGCCCCTTACACTTGCTTCCTCGCTGGGAAATGAGAATAACACTATATACAGTAGGCTTTATGTGAATAATTTGTATCAGATATCTGGGATAAGACTGGAATAATATTTAAATATAATAAACAATAAACAAATGTTAATGATCCTTGTAATTTTTAAATTAAGCTTTAGTTTGGGTAAGGATTCTTTTATATGCTGTTAGTTTCTCATACAAATTTATTTTCAAACTTTATATTTAAAACACAGTTCTCCCTCGTGACTTTTTGAGGATCTCAAAAATTGACAGAGGAATAATTTGTATGTACATATGCATGTAAATACATACTCATTTTTAAATCTCAATTGACATATAACTACTGATTTATGGGTTTTACTTTGATGTTTTGATAGATCTATTTGCTGTGTAATTAGCATGTTAGCATAGTATTTAACGTTTTCTTAATATGATTTAATGGCAAATGCATTAGCCAGTGGCATTCTGCTTTGACTCTTGGTCCTCTTGAAAACTTACCTTACATGTTTAATTTTGCAACCAGTTTAAATAATTCTTTCGAGTGGTGATTGCTTTGGTTGGGGTTAAGTTTGACACTTAGGCTATTTAATAGCTTCAAACTGCCTGGAGTTGACATAAACACATCATCACCCATCAACTGACAATTTTTATACATTTTTATATGTTTATATTCTGCAGCTTCCTGGTTATTATGACCATTTTGGATATAATTTGTAACACAGGACTCTAAGAACTATAAGATTAAGACTTTATTACAGCGTTTGACATGACTTCCACCTACCCTTACCATGATGTGGTCTTTGTAGAGCACGGACTTTATTTTTTATTATAATTTTATGTATGTGGATACTTTGCCTGCCTGTATGTCTGTGCACCACATGCATAAGCACGCGGGAGCCACAGAGAACAGAAAAAGGGGGTCAGATCCCAAGGAACTGGAGTTACACACTATGGTAAGTTGCTATGTGGGTGCTACGAATCAAACCTGGGATCCCTGGAAAAATAGGTGCTCTTGAAGATTGAGCCATCCCTCCAGTCCCCTAAGTCAGTCTTTCTTACGGTTACTTGGGGCCTAAGCAATCAACTTAACTCTATTAGCTAATGACCATGTGGGGCATGGGCTATTCTAGTTCTGATAGCTGTAGATCCTTTCAAAATTCATACTACTGCATAATATCAAGTGATTGAGTTTCTGTGTGTCATCTGTAACAAGACTGCTCAGAAAGTCATTAAGATTGTTTTAAGAAAAGTTGTTCTCTTCATGCATTAAACTCCTTAATGAACTGATGTCTCCTTGGGGGAAAAAATCTATGAAGGCTCAACACACACACACACACACACACACACACACACACACATACACACACATACACACATCCCAAAACTTCCTTTACCTAATTTTTCATAAAATAATTTAAATTTCCACAGATATGTTTTCATTTAAAATATCTATTATGTTTTAATTTTTAAATTCATAGTCTTACAACATTGTTATATTTGTGAATGAAACTGTAGGATATGTTTCTTGTTTTTTTTGTTTGTATAGTTAAGGTAGAAGTTACTCCTTTCATTCTTTTTCCGTTTCCACATCTGCTTCCTGGTACATTCCGGAAGGATTCATTTCTACCCTCCACCTAAATCCATGACACGCCAAGTTTTATATTTCATAAATGAAGTATTATGGTGTCTGCTTTATCCCCTATTTTATTATTTGTTTCCTCGCTTCTTGTTTAGTGCTTACCTGGTGATTTTGTTAAGCTCATGACTCTGCAGTCTTCTCTTCTTGAATTGTCAGTTACCATGGAAATACCCCTCAGAGGCCCACAACAAGCATGCGTAGGACAGGCTGTCTGGGCATGCGCTCCTCTTCCGGCTCTGTCAACTGCAATCACTATGGCGGAGGCAGTTCCCATGCCCCAGTTTCGGCCAGTTACACACCTGATATTTGACATGGATGGACTGCTTCTGAATACTGAAGATATTTATACTGAGGTGTTTCAAGAAATATGTCAGCGCTACGGGAAGCAATACAACTGGGATGTCAAGGCCCGGGTCATGGGAAAGAGAACTCTAGAAACCACAGAGACCATAGTAGAGTACCTGCAGTTACCCATGACCAAAGAAAAGCTGATGGAAGAAAGCCAGGAGAAGCTGCAGAAGGTGCTGCACACAGCTTCACTCATGCCGGGAGCAAATGAGCTGATCCACCACCTTCGGAAGAAACACATACCCTTCGCCCTGGCCACCAGCTCCAGCTCTCTCTCCTTCCAAAGGAAGACCAGCAGACACGAGGGATTCTTTGGTTTATTTGACCACATTGTTCTGGGTGATGACCCTGAGGTTCATCATGGCAAGCCAGCCCCAGACATATTTCTTACTTGTGCCAAGAGGTTCTCTCCCCCCGCTGAGCCAGAAAACTGCCTCGTCTTTGAAGATTCTCCAAATGGAGTGGACGCAGCGGTGACCTGTGGGATGCAGGCGGTCATGGTACCTGATAAAAACCTGAGCACAGACTTGACAAAAAAGGCCACCCTGGTGCTTAGTTCCCTGAAAGACTTCAAGCCTGAACTGTTTGGCCTACCTGCCTTTGAGTGAGGGGGAAGGGGAAACAGGCTGCTTGTGGGCCTCCTGGAACCCAAGGCCCACATAGCTGAGGGAAAAGGTTAGGAAACCAGCAGCATCCAGATTGTCCTTCATTGTCACTGCAGGTAATAAAGTTGTCTGTTCCATTATTCGCTTGGCTTCCTGTGTGAGTTGCTCTACATTTGACAGTGGAAACAGAACAAGAAAGAACCCAGACTAACCCTCAGCCATTAACCTCAAACATAAAGCTGACTTGGTATACAATAAAAGGGAGCGAGCATGCATGTATACATGTGAATAATCCCGCTACGTATCGTGTATGTTCATGGATACATATGCGTATACGTGAAGTATAAAATCTTTTCCGACAAAATAAAAATAATACTTATGTTTTCTTATCTTTCATTTTAGTCTTTCTGAACATTGGCAGTTGGAAAATATAAACCGCATATTAATGTAAGAATGTGTCTTTAAATGTGTGTATATCTATCTTACATGGATGTAGTATCTCCTGCTTCTCTATTTGACATTAACAGTGCAGTGCTAACTGATGGGTGAGATGCTCATTCTCTCTGCTCATTAGCCTAAGTGAAGCCTTGATAAGGACAATTGTCCTCCTCAGCCAGCTCTAAGTTATTTGTGACCTCAGTAACTCTTGGAACTTAGTATCTTATAGAATGTGTCTACACCGTATAACTTCTGTGTACTTCCTAACCTATGTTGGAGAATGTTTCTACCTCGAAAAAAATACTTTTCTCCTTAAGAATATTAATTTTATGTAAGATGTGGGAAGTAGCACGAGCTGGAGAGGATAGGAACCCCACAAGGAGAGCAACAGAACCAGAAAATTTGAACACAGGGAATATCCCAGAGAGTCATACTCCTACCAAGGACTATTCATGGAGATAACCTAGAACCCCTGCACAGATGTAGCCCATGGCAGTTTAGTGTCCAAGTGGGTTCCATAGTAATGGGAAGAGGGACTGCCCCTGACATAAACTGATTGGCCTGCTCTTTGATCACCTCCTCCTGAGGGGGGAGCAGCCTTACCAGGCCACAGAAGATGACAATGCAGCCACCCCTGATGTGATCTGATAGACTAAGATCAAAAGGAAGGAGAAGAGGACCTCCCCTATCAGTGGACTTGGGGAGAGGCATGTGTGAAGAAGGAGAAGGGAGGGTGGGATTGGGAGGGGAGGAAGGAGGGGCTTATGGGGGGATACAAAGTGAATAAAGTGTAATTAATAAAAAATAAAAATATATAAAAAAGAAAAAAATATTAATTTATATTTTAAAATGATTTATTATTTTATATTTATTGATATAGGACCATACCATGTGTCCCTGGCTATCCTGGGACTAGCTATGTAGATCAGGATGAACTTGAACTCACAAAGATCCACTGCCTCTGCCTCCTGAGTGCTGATTAAAGGCACACAAAGGCACACGCCACCCCACCCAAACTGCTATGTTTTATTTTTAAATTGTGTGTGTGTGTGTGTGTGTGTGTGTGTGTGTGTGTGTGTGTGTGCTCACTCAAGTACAGGTATCAGCAGTTGATTCCCTGGAGCTGGCATTCCAGGCAGTGGTAAGCCAGTGCTGGGAATCAAACAAGGGTCCTCTGCAAAGGCGAATGCCCTCTTAACTGCTGATACATCTCTCTAACTCCTGATGTTCCACTTTTGAAGTAGAATTTGGTCTTTTGGGTAGTTGTTTGGTAAGGCTGAGAGCTTGACATAACTAAATTGACACTCTTGTTCCTTTTATACTTCCATAACTTTAGCTTAGCCTGTGGAATTCAGCTACAAATTGCCCAAGTAAAATCGCTTTTAAGAAGTTGAAATGTAAAGGAAAAATATTGAAATGTAAAACCCAGGAGCACCGCCCATTCCTACCTGAAGCCACCTTTGCAGAGGGCTCTGTAACCCAATGTTGTTAGTCCATGTACACCACTCATGCAGTGGTGTACATGCGTGAGTGCCCTGAAGGAATGAGTGCCGGCAAACACCCCTGCAGGTGGACCTAGTCACATCACTTAGCAAACTCACCTCAACACTCTCAATGGCTTCTACCTTTGTTTACCCTATGAACTATTTTCCAAACCAACTGAGATATCTTACTAGTGTCCTTTCACATTAACTCAGTGAAGGAAAATATTATATACATATATATGTATATAGAGAGAGACAATCATTTCAAAATTCTCAGAAAAACAAGACTTCAGAGGTATAGCCAGAAAGGAGATGTTTGGACTTGCTTTTGGTAAGACTAGAGAAAGATGGCTTGTTGCTCTCTTGTTTTCTCTTTTCTTTTTTTCCCTATGACCATTCTTGGAAATTATAAGCAATTGTACTTATATACATTTATCATGTGTATATTTTCAATTCCCCATAAATCATGAATCTAATTAAAATACAGACAAAACTTATTTAATTGATAAATAAATTTTAAGAGAAAAGTATTTTACTGCAGCCTTCTTTCCTGTATATTTATACCTTTATACAAGTTTGTTCTCTCAAACTTTTTACATACACATATCAAAATTTTTGTGTGTACATAGTACCTGTCCTCATTTATTGAAGCTTATTGTAAAGTATCCTACTTGCCAAAGTTTCCATTACTCTCATCCCCTGTGATGTTTTTGTGGTCATCCAAAAACAAATATGAGCATACTGGGGAAGTTCTGACTCAGTCCCTGCTCATATTAGATGACATCATTCAAAATGTTGTAGGATTTTTTGTTTTGTTTTGTTTTGTTTTAGGTCTGCTACTGCAGATGTGTTTATCTCACGGTCTGCTGGTGACAAGCATTCAGTGTGTTTGTGTTTTGGTTGTCTGGATCTCTACTTAGAAAGCTGTATAGTATTGTAAGGTGCGAGAAACCTGGGCTGTTCTTATAAAAAGAAATATGAGAATCAGATAAGCTCTATCCAGGATGGCCTGTAGTGCTACTGATTGTGAAATCAGTGTCAAAAGTCAATAGCATGTCAACTACATTGCCGTCAAAGAGGAATGTACATAAAGCAAGGCTATGTGGGGTTTTTGTTCCCTGACAAAGATATGAACAAAGACTTGTTGGAACCTAACTCAGTATTTCATCTAAGAGTAATCACTCCATTTTCTCTAATGTGATTCTATGGAAAACTATAGGTAATGAGACTACTCTATACCATATGACTTTAAAGTATATTAATCATATGTGTATTAAATAGCATAGATACCCATTCACACACACATATGCACATACACACACACACACACACACACACTTAATTTAACTGAGCTACTCAGATATAAAAACAAATTTTCAGAGTTTGTTTATGGGATAATTTTTCACAAACTTTGAAATCTTTAATTTTTATTTTTATATTAATTACAGTTTATTCACTTTGTATCCCACCTGTAACCCCCTCCATCATTCCCTCCCAATCACAACCTCCCTCCCTCATCTCCTCCCATGCCTCTCTCCAAGTCCACTGATAGGGGATGTTCTCCTCCCCTTCCATCTGACCCTAGCTTATCAGTTCTCATCAGGACTGGCTGCCATGTCCTCCTCTGTGGACTGGTAAGGCTGCTCCCCCATTAGGTGGAGATGATTAAAGAGCCAGCCACTGAGTTCATGTCAGAGACAGTTCCTGTTCCTCTTACGAGGGAACCCACTTGGATACTGAACTGCCATGGGCTACATCTGAGCAGGGGTTCTAGGTTATATCCATGAATGGTCCTTAGTTGGAGTATCAGTCTCAGAAAAGACACCTGTTTTTGGTTCTGTTGCTCTCCTTGTGGATCTCCTGCCCCTTCCAGGTCTTACTATCTCCCCCTCATTTCCTAAGATTCCCTGCACTTTGCCCAAAGTTTGGTTATGAGTCTCAGCATCTACTTTTTTTAGAGGACAAAACTTCACAATTTAGATTCAGTTGACTAACAGTGATTGCCTAACACTAATTTTTGGTTTCTTGTAAAGGAGCAGTTTTAGCAAGAGGTTCAGTCATTTTCGGAGAATTAAATACACACCAGGGTCCTTTCATCATGAACCTCGGGTTTCTCATTCCTACTTGATGTTGTCATCTTCTCTGCCAAATCATTCCCCATAAGGTTACCTAACTGGATTTCACTTTAGCAGCAGCTGCTTCCATTATACTTTGGGCTGGGAATTAATGCCACTAACAAAGAAAATAAAGAATAGCCAGCCATGTCATGCCACTTTCAGGGCTTAGGCTGCTAAGGAAAGGGTTAGCAAGTCAATATCCATGCCCTGAGACTACTGACCTAAGGTAAGGAAGCACATATCATCATCCCTTCCCAACTGTAGGATTGTATTTATCCATCAGATTTAAGAGAGCTCCATTTCCATCTTATATTGTTATTATTTGAATTAAATAATTAAAATAGACCTGAATATATAGGTACACATTGGTTTGGCTATTCATTCATTCATTGAATGATTGTTGGTTATCAACCATATATTAAGTATGTAAGACAGTGATAAGACCAATCTTCTACTACCAAGAATCATTGCATCTAGAATATGAGAAGGAAGTAAAAACTACACACTTTCAAATAGAGATAATATGGAATAGACAAAGTAAAGAGATATGGTAGAAGGTAGTCAGGCTTGGGAAAAGAAAACATACTGTTTCTTTAAATACATAAGCCAGAGAGGCAACAAACTTCCTAAGAGAGGGCTTGGACACACTCCATGGTAAAGACCCTACCAGAAATTCTCCAAAGCAGATAAACACATTTAACAAAGTAGCAGGATGCAAAATTAACATACAAATGTCAGTAGGCTTCCTATGTACTAACAGCAAATACACTAAGAGAGAAATCAAGAAAACAGAGTCATAGTAGCTAAAAAATAAATATCCTGAAATAAATATATCTAAGGATGTGAAAGGCTTACACAAGGAAAGTTTTCAGACAGTGAAGAAGGAAATGGAAGACGATACCAGAATATGTAAAGACCTCCATGCTCATGGATTGGTAGGATTAATATTGTGAAAATAGCTATGTTATTTTAAAGAATCTACAGATTCAATAAAATCACCATCGAAATTTCAATGCAATTCTAAACAGAAATTGAAAAGAATGATAGTTTCATATGAAAACAAAAAGATG